TGAAACTCGCGGGTGGGGTGTGTGCATGTGTGCCCCAAATCCCGAGAGACTAGAGAAGGGACTGTGGTGTGGACATCCCTCCCCCCCCCGGGGGGGGCTTCTCCCTTTTTGTCTCCCCAGTGAGTACACTCATCCAGCAGCAAAAATCTCTCTCTTAAACAAAAAAAGAAAAGCCAACAAAACTACTTAGATAAAGCATGGAAATGGCTTGACCCAAATAACCAATAAGGAAAATGACCCAGAGAGGGCCGACAAAGGACCTGAAGGCCAAGTGGCAAGTGTCTCCACTGAGAGTGACTAACCCAGAGTTGGGGAAAGAATGACACAGAGCCGAGGAAAAAGCTGATGGAGTACTGTGGAGGGCTCCATTGTTGTACACAGAAAACCACCCTGTGAGCAGTTTTTTTTTTCTTTTTTGGAGAGGTTTTTGCTATAGGGCGCATGCGCTCGCCAGACAGACAGAGAGACAGAGAGACAGAAAGCGAGAAATCACCCCCAGGGGGGATGGTCACGCCGCAATCCCTTCTCCTCCATTCTCCTCTCGGGATCTTGGGCACGCATGCACACGCGCCCGGCGTGAGTTTTAAGCCACTGGGTCCGGGATGCGAACCACGGTCGACTACGTGGGAGTCCAGCGACATAGCCATTACGCTAACTGCTGGTTCCCAGCAGGGTAGTTTTCCCTGCACTGAATGCTTCATATCTTTGGGTATTGACAGTTTTTTGTTTTGTTTTGTTTTTAATTACCAGAGGGTACATGTGTGGTATGTGTGTTTGCCAAAGAAAGGGAGAAAGGACTTCCTAATGGGGTGTGGTCACGCTGTAATCCCTTCTCTTCCATTTCTCTTGTCCAGGAGTAGGCATGTACACACACACACCTGGTGGGTTGGTTTTTTTTTTGAGTTATTTAATTTTATTATTGTTATTTTTTATTTGATGAGAGAGAAAGCAAGCCACCAAGTCTGGGACTCAAACCATGGTCAACCATGTGGGAGTCCAACACCTTAACCACTATGCCACCTGCTGGTCCCTTTTTCAAGTTGCCAGGGCTGAAGTCTGAACTGTGGCTAGCCATGTGAGACCCAATACCCTTAACCATTAGGCCATCGGGCTGACTTGGGTATTGACATTTTTATGGCTCCTCAGTCTTTTGGCTAAGAGCAAGTGTAAATAACCATCTGTATTTTCCAAGTTCAATTGTCCTTTTATCCAAAGGTTTGCCAAAAATAATGATCATTTTCCAAGAGAGCTTGAGATCAAAGAAAAAAGTAACTTGTCAAAGGTGAGAGCCCTGTCTAAGTCCATAGGGAGTTTTCTCTGTCTTTCCTCTGGAGTTGTTTGCTAGTCAATGACATTTCAGGCACAAGACTCACTTTAAGACTGTTCTGTCCCAATGTGAGTATTTATCTTGACTTGAAAACAGAAAAGTGAGGAACTAAAGGGGCTGAATCCGTTATAATGTTTACATTATTTTCTTCTTCAAAGGAGGAACGTTGACCCAGTGGGAAGGCTCAGTAAAATCATTATTGCTCCTGTTGGTGGCTTAGTCTATCATTTCCAAGAGAGGCAGACTATGCAGGGCACAAAGCACCATCCAGGTAATTAAAACTAGACAACACAGAGATGCCTTTGACCTAATCTTGACTCTGAACCCTACAAGAGACAGTTACTTTTTCTTTTTTTTTTTAAGGTTTCTGCTATAGGGCATGTGTGCTCCTAGGAGACAGTGAGAAATCACTCCTGGGGAGGATGGACGTGTGCTCCTAGGAGACAGTGAGAAATCACCCCCCAGGAGGAGGACATAACACAACTCTCCCCTCTCTCTTCCCGGGACTCTGGACCCACCCACACACCTCCCCATGAGTCTCAAGCCATCAGGTCTGGGACTTGAACTGGGGTCTCTCACACAGGAGTCCATCACCCTAACTACTACACCACATACAGCCCTCTTCCCCCAGTACCATCTTTTAAGAGTTCTTCAAGCAATGTTTTTCCCATGGTCATTCACCACACTGACTCATTTCTGCACGTGACCTCCCGCACACACATTTTATTTGACTGGGAGCAGCATGTGGATTTTTTAGATTGTTATTTTCATGGAGTAGCAGTTTCTATAGAACCCTCGTCAAGATTTTAAATGACATGGATTTTACTCTTATCAAACTACTTGTGCTAGGAAATTTGAAAACAAACAAAAGTGCAGAGAAAAATACAACAATCACTTAAAGCAGATGCCCATAGAGAAGGCTCCGCCACAGTTGGTCTGTTTCCTTCCAGTCATCCAAAAATCATCAATGGGTAAAGAACATTCCAGCGTGTCAACGGAACGCGCTCTCTTCTGAACAGTTCTCGGTCCTGAGGAACTACTCTCCCACGAGTGAACTGTGTGAGAAGTGGGTTCCCAGGCCGTTGCTGCCTTGCCTGGCGAGCAGGTGACCAGGGCGTTCGCCAGGTGGAGTTGGAGCCAACATCCACGCTGCGCCTCCCTTTCCTCCTACCAAAGAGCTGTGAGCATCCAGTGCGATGCAGGTTTCAGGATGTGTGCATGTCTGCCGAGTGGGACTGTGTGTGAAGTCCCCAGACCTACATCAGAGTCCGGCGACCAACATCTTCAGGAAACCTCAGTTTCCCAAGGCCCAGTCGCTGGTTCAGTGTCGGCCCTAAGCCTTGAAGGCCAGCGGGTTAAAAACCTGGTCCCGGGGCCCCTTCCTAAGAAAACGGCACGTCTTCCGCACTTTCCCGTCTCTGCTGCAGCTTCAGGGACTCTAGGATCACCTCGGCGGCCGCTCAGCGACACGCCCCAAGTCTCCAGCTTGGACCTTCCCAAGAGCACTAGCCCAGTGGCCGGACGCGCAGGGCGGCCTCGGGGCCCGAGTTCGGGAGGCTCTGCCCGAGGCTCCGCGTCCTCCGGGTCGGCCACCCCTTGCCCTCGGAGGCGCGGCCGGGACCGGAGCGACGGGCACCGGCGCGGCCGAAAGCCCCACGCCCCCGGCCCGCCCCGCGCGTCCGCTTGTTTACTCCCCGGCGCAGCCTAGTTCGACC